CGGGCGCTGGCTCCGCCTGGCGCAGGGCTCTGTACCTGGCTGGAGAGTCTGGCAGTGATGGCCCCAGATTGCGGGGTCGGGGGTGACCGTGCTCCAGGCGCTGTTGAAAGGTGCAGTTTGCCTGGCAAGTGTCAAACACGGCCAGGGACTGGCTCCGGCTTCCTGCGGAACAGGATTGGCGGGACTCGCTAGCCCAGCTAGGTGGGCTCAGTTCAGGAAGGAGAATACCCGTGCGCAGCTTTCAGACCAGTAACAATAAGTGCTAAATATTTTGAACATTGACAAAAAATAGTGAATATAAACGCTAGATACTAACAGGATGCCAACATGCAGTGTGTAAGGGTGTGTCTGCAAAATCAGCCCCCTCCTGCCTATTATGACTTTAATGAGCAACAACAATTAATCACAAAAAGGTCAGTATATAAATTTTCATCTTTAAATCTGAAAAAGCAGGTGCACAAGCGTCCAGCCCTGAGTCTAAAGCCTTGAGTCTCTGCCCACCCTGGTGTAAGCCAACTGTAAATCACAGAATAATCAGGCCCTAAGTATGTTCCTTTCATGTCTTTGTATCAAATCAAGTATTCATGGTGGAATTTTAGGGGCCCACGTTAACGACCTCTAGCAGTTTTAGAAGTGAGGAGGATTATTTCTCTGTCATTAAGAAATAAAACTGCTATCAAAGGGCACCCTAAAGCACTGCTCTACATGCAGGGGGCTTACATAAGAACGGCCATACTGGGTCAGACCAAAGGTCCATCAAGCCTGGTAGCCTGTCTGCCGACAGCGGCCAACACCAGGTGCCCAAGAGGGGGTGGACCGAAGACAATGATCAAGCAATTTGTCTCGTGTCATCTGTCTCCAGCCTCTGACAAACAGAGGCCAGAGACACCATTCCTACCCCTGGCTAATAGCCTTTTATGGACTTAACCTCCATGAATTTATCTAGTTTCTCTTTAAACTCTATTATAGTCCTAGCCTTCACAGCCTCCTCTGGCAAGGAGTTCCACAGGTTGACCACCTGCTGTGTGAAGAACTTTCGCTTATTAGTTTTAAACCTGCTACCCATTAATTTCATTTGGTGTCCTCTAGTCCTTATATTATGGGAACTAATGAATAACTTTTCTTTATTCACCCTCTCCATACCACTCATGATTTTATATGCCTCTATCATATCCCCCCTCAGTCTCCTCTTTTCCAACGGAAAAGTCCCAGATGCTTTAGCTTCTCCTCATATGGGACCTGTTCCAAACCCCTGATCATTTTAGTTCCCCTTTTCTGAACCCTTTCCAGGGCCAAAATATCTTTTTTGAGGCGAGGAGACCACATCTGTACACAGTATTCAAGATGTGGGCGTACCATAGTTTTATACAGGGGCAGTAAGATATTCTGTGTCTTATTTTCTATCCCTTTCTTAATAATTCCTGACATTCTATTTGCCTTTTTGACTGCCGCAGCACACTGTGTGGACGTTTTCAGAGAACTATCCACGATAACTCATGAATGGGCTTCTTGAATGTGACTGACCACAAGAGTGTAATGTGCAAGTGGCTCTGACCCAGATGAAGGACTTCTGCTCCTTCCTTCACAGATCTCTGGATTGGACCTTTTCACTTCTCACATGTTCTCTGGTGTTTCCACACTTCTTCAGAGTGCTCTGTGATTCTGAGTTGCCCAGGGCCAGCTCCCACACCCAGGGCTATCTTTAGGGTACAGTATGGGGTACACAATACTATTAAATTGGTGCCCATATGCCCAATGGCAGACCTGGAGGGGGATTTTTTTGAGATGTGATTTTATAATCTTCAGCAATACACTAAGGCTGTATCTAGACTGCATCCCTTTTCCGTAAAATGGATGCAAATTAGTCACATCGCAATTGCAAATGAAGCGGGGATTTAAATCCCCCCCCCGCTTCATTTGCATAAACATGGCTGCTGCTTTTTTCCGGCTTGGAGCTTTGCCGGAAAGAAGCGCCAGTATAGACGCGGATCTTTCGGAAAATAAACCCTTTTCCGAAAGATCCCTTATTCCTTATTTTAAGAGGAATAAGGTATCTTTCAGAAAAAGCTTTATTTTCCACAAGATCCGCGTCTAGAGTGGCGCTTTTTTCCGGGAAAGCC